CTATGTTGTTTCGTTGTTTTATATCCGAGTCAATAAACTGTTGACATCGCATTAAAACATGACTGTTCTTACACAGAGGGCATTGTCCGTATGAAGTATGATAAGTCTTTGGAATCCACTTCTTATGGTCGAAGTTTTTTCGAGTTCCGTGTTTTTCAGTTCCAGCCGACTTCTCCGAAATTTGTATATCTTTCTTTGAAGTTTTCATGGTTTCAAACGCCATGAATTGGTTTTCTAAGTACGTCATAAATTCCTGTAGTGAGGGAACCTCTCTACTATCATGTAATTTCTTTATGTATTCATTGTAGCTCCCACTGTCTAGTTTCTGCGACATCAGATGGGCAATCATGGGATCCCAACTTGCTACATCAAGCCCAATGTTTGTTAAACCATTTAGACATTCCGTGGTTACGTCATGCAGCTTCTTTAAGTTGTAAGCATCTGGCTTCTGTATGACAGGCAACTGCATCATAGTGTTTACGTACGATGAGAATTGTAGTCGACGGTTGTCGTACCGTTGAGTTAGTATCTCCCAACATGAAGTGTAGTTGTCAGCACAAATGCTTAAGTGTTGCACCAGCCTTTCTGCTTCACCTTTCAGCTTAGTCTTCAGATGCTGCATTTTTTGAGCATTGTTTAGTGTCGGGTTTTTATGTATGGTTTCCAGGAATAGGTCTTTGAATGAAATCCATTTGCTGTAGTGTCCTGAGAATTCTGGAATCTCAATTCTTGGTGCTGAACGTTGATGATGAGCTGTGGACCACATCTTGCTTTTCAGTTGTTTTCGGATTTCGTCATATCTGTCTTCCATGTTGTTGAACTTGTCATAATATGTGTGGTTTGAACCTTTCAGTAAAGCTTCCAGTTCCCAATGAGTGTTGTCAATAGTTTCCCATTTTGACTTCAAGATTGACAAGTGATCGTCAAGTTCCCATTTTTCAGCTAAAGCATCAAAATCAATTTTTGCCATAGCCCGATCGATGGCCTTGAAGTTGCATTCCTGTTTAGTCAACAATGCCTTTGTTTTCTCATCAGGTTCTCCTTTTGACAAGTCCGATAAGTCGAATTTGACACTATCTTCAATTGTTTGAGACAGTTTTAAAATGTCTGCTTTTGTTGTTTCGTACATTAATTTTGTCTTCCCGTAGACATCTTCGACAAAATAGTTAATGTTTCGGTCTTCAATTTCTTGCATGAGCAATGTATGCCGTGCATTGAAATCCATCCATTGAGCTTCTAAAGAGGACAGCCGCTTGTTCAAGTATTCTGCTGTTTTTCTGGTTTTGCTATCCTTGTTATAATTAGTGCATAATGTTTTGATGTTTTCAAAACATGTTGATTGTAGTGACAGCTTATTCATCTTGATTATAGATGACGTTTTCTTGATGTTCAAGTTAGTTTTGAAGTGACTCGTAGTAGTTCTTCAATAGTTGTAGTTAGTTGCAGCAGTTGAAAGCTCTTCTAGTAGTCGAAGGTTCTCACTGCTCCAGAAGTTGTAGTTGGTTCCGATACTCAATGTGCCTGTCCTCTGGTTAGATATATGCGCCTTCTCAATCCAACTGGGGCGACCCGCTTGTGGGAGACCAGCTGAACCGATTCGCTACCGTACCCAGAGACACAAACACACTAAGATACGAATCCGGCTCGAAGGACCATTAAATGTACGAGTTGTAGTAGTTAACTCCGTACATTGATTTGTAGTGAAGATGAAGTTGATGTAGTGTAGAGAAACAAGTTTCACCCAGTTGCACTAAGTAGTTAGTTTATTGCAATCAAATTACAATATGAATGAAAGGCGATTATTTCTCTCAGTTGTTGATAGCTACCAAGTTATAAGTTGACTATATTTTAATTCGTTAATCACGTTGTTTTATTGCGCTAAATTGTACGCGCGTCTTTAGCCTAAAGTAGGTTGCCGCGTAAACAAAAAAAAATGTGCGGTTGTGAAACCGTACAAACAAACTGCCACGATTAAAAATCTGTACAAAATAATACATAAATTAAGACTACATATACAAATTAAATAACTATTCTGTCCAAAATTAACGACATGAAAAACACTGGCCTTGACCACGTCAGGGGTTTCTGAAAACAGCAGGATGGGTTTTAGCCGGTAAGAGTCCGGCAGTACTCACACCTCCCTACTCGTGGGGAGGTGTGAGTCTCCATGAGGATTTCCCCTCCTGCTGTAAAAAAAAAACCTAACCTAACCTTTTTTTTTTTAATATGGGGAAATCCTCATGGACTGCCTCCGCCTGGGGAAAGGCGGAGGGGTGTGCCGGACTCTTACCGGCTAAAACCACCCCAGTGTCTCCTCGCACGTGCGTGCGGGGCCGCGGGAGTCCAAATTCATCCGCAGCCCCGCATTACAGTGCCGGCCACTATGTCAGGGCCCCGTCACCTGTACGGAGCAGTGCACCACGTGCATCGCCTCAACAGCGCACGCCGACACCCGCGCGCGCCTTCGACTCGGGTCTTTGAAGTCGGGGAGGACTTCCCCAAGTCCTTCGCCCCTGGACCCATTTATGGGGGCCGGAAGAGGGCGTTGTCGGCCCTTCTCCTACGCCCGGTTCGCCTTCTGCGGTTGGGAAAGGAAGTCAGTAAGATCTCCCTCTCCCGTTCCGCAGTTTCCTTCTGCGACATCACATCCTCGCAGAAAGACACCACCGCGTCCCACGACTCTGCGCTGTCCACCATAACCTAACCTAACCTAACCTCCTTACCTATTCCCCTCTTGCTGTATAAACAAACAAAATAAAAAACCTAAGCGAGCATGGGTGACTCTCCTTCCGACCGTCCCGCGCGCGCCTCAAAGAGCATCAGACTGTAGGTAACTGTACGAATTATATCATTTATTTACGTCTTCAAATAAAATTAAAAACTAACACAATTACATTAACAAATCTATACACACACACACACACGCGTAAAGTGTCGGACAGACACCACTATCAAACTAGACATGGAAATAGATTAAGTCAGCCAATTTCGAGATTGGCGAAAGTAAGTAAGTCGTTCATGGGATTCTGTATTAAATGTTATAATAAGATACCAGGCGACATACAACACCTAAATGAATCAAAATTTAAATTATGTATAAAGAAAACCTTATGTAGACAAGCGTATTACAAACTTAATGATTATATAGTTGATAAAAATGCTTGGATACAGGCTAGTCCGGCTCCACAGGATAACAAAAAACACTGATGTTTTAATGAAATTGTAAATAATACAGCCATTTTGCTAAATTGTATATTGTTTAACTTAGATAACCATTGTGAATGTGAGAGCCCTGTAATTAACTTAATATTAAATTAGACTAGTAGAATGCATTTGTGTCAGCGTGGAGTTGTCATGCTCACTCAAAGGTCTCATTGGCGGTGGCGCGTGCAGTGGATCGCTCGATTCCCTACAATATGGTTGATTTGGGCGGTACTGGTGTACGTGTCATGTTCGTGAATGGGCGCCGTCAACTGGGACTGGTCAGCTCCAGACTGTATTATTTATTGTTTTTAAGGTTATTTTCTTTTTCAATCACTTTGACTGGATTTTAGTGTTACATTGTTCTCGCACAATCCAAACAGCAAACTATGTAACTAGAGAATTGTATTGTGAACCTGATTGAAAAAGAGTAACCTATGGAGTTTCTTGCTCGTTCTTCTCCATAGGAATCTACACCTTGGAATGAGCAAATAGCTTCACTTCTAATTTTATTATTGACGTTCAAAAGTGCCTTTCTGGTCTAATTGAAATAAATGATTTTGACTTTGACTTTGACTTTGACACGCCTACATACATTTATATACATATTTACATTTTGTACGGAATACATAATACTCCCTTACCAGTTGGTCGATAAAAATTCCATCGATAGTCGATAATTGTAAAACTATCGACCAAGCCCTCATCACTAATTACCTATATAGTTATAACTATCGATACCTATCTACCGATGATCGCCTACCGATGCGTGTGCGCATATCTGTCAAACCAGTCTTGCCGAGATTTTGCTACGACGCGCATAGATAATTCTTTATCTTGCTTAACGCTGTAAAAACTACACTAAGTAATTCTATCGCAAATATCTTCTATCTGTTCCTTATTACTTCTAATACTGACTGTCTTCTCGCCATCTACGTGCTATGCTTATTTATGTGCTTCTGACTTTCCTACTGTACCTTCTGTACTACGTGTGTCGAACCCATCGAATAAACTTGGTGATACGTGAGTCGAACTTTTATTTATACCACGAAATACCCGACACCAGACTAAACTACTTAAGACTACTCATCTAACAACCAAAAGACCACCACGGATGGGGACAAAAAAAAAGGAGCACCTTCTCAAACAAGGGTTTTTGAATTTGGTTGAAAGGAGTATGGGCCAGCCAAGAAATATCTCATAATACCGATTTATAATAAAGGAAGTCTTACAATTTTTATGCGAGTTCCATTGTAAATTATTATGTTTTCGGCTTCGGCAGTCGCCTCGTCGCGGATCACGAAATGCTGCTCATGAATATGCTGCTTATGCCTCTAGCATTGCTTGAAACTAGTCGACTTCCTCGTCAAATTATTACGTAAGTAAGCCGAAAACATAATAATTTATTGAGGATGTCTCTATTGTGATGAACGTCAAATAAAATCGACAATAATTAGTCTAAATAATAATGAATTAATGACTAATTAGTCACCGATAACATACGTTCTTGTACGGGTATGATATACGTGCCGACACCAAACACAAGCTCTTTGACTCATGGGCTGCAGTGTGGGTAGGCACTTCTACACTTAAAGGCGCCTACTATGCAAGTGTCCAGCCGGCGACGACGATGATGACTTCAGTCTCCTCACCTATCAGTTAGTGAGTAAGCTATAAGTACGTATGACAAATAATAGTTATTTTTTGCTTTTTAGTTTTAGTTTTTAGTGTTTGAAGTCGGTTTTATAAACGCAGTTTTTTATTTTTATGTCAGGAACAGGTAAAATGAAACAGAAAAAGAAGAAATTATTAATTTATTAGATTCTCGAAAAAATTCAAAAATACACCGATCGTTTGCAATTAATCACAATTGAAAACCCTAGATGCTATAGTAAAAATGTATATCGACAGGCACCATCTCAAGCCGCACACACGCTACAGCGGCGGCCGAGCGGAGCGAAAAAGTTTCGTCTACGAAAATTATTGTCGATCTAGCGACAGGCAGCGGCGGCTACAACGGAGCCGGAGTGCCGTCGGGCTCTGGCCGCGTGCGGTAGCGGGGCGCGGGCGGCCGCGCCGGCGCCGGCACTAGCAGCGCCAGCGGCTCGGGCGGTGACGGCGGCGCTGAGCTGGCGCCCCGCCCGGGACCCTGCGCCGCCGCTGCCGCCAGGGTGTCGCCGCGCTCCAGCGACCACTGCCGCCGCAGTGGACGACGCCCGTTCCCCAAGCACCTGCCAACCCCACGAAACACCAGTTTCCTCATATACATTACATATTATATGACAGCCTCGTTGGCCAAGTCTCGCATTTGTGCGACTAGTGATTGTGGCAAATAGTAATATTTGTACTCCTTAAACGGCATAGTTAATGTGTCTAATCTCGTTATTTTGTAAAGCTTGATACCCACCTATAGCGAGAGTATTGCACGCTGTGGTCGGCGGCGGGGGTGGTGGGGGTGGTGGGGTTGGCGACGGCGGCGACGGCGGCGAGGGTGGGCGGCGGGGCCGCGCCAGTCGGCAGGGCCGCGCCGGGCGGCGGGCTGCTGTCCGCCGACACCGCGCCCGAGCGCTGCCACGCTGCAACCACACACAGGCTGACCAGGGCCGCACGACGCACGCACGACACACGCACGGCGCACGCACGACGCACGCACTACGCACGCGGAGCTCACCTTGTCTGTCCGGAGTGCCGGTGGGGTCGGACCGCTGCCGCTCGACCCCGGCTCGCGCCGCTGCTGGTGGCGAGTGATCCGGTCCTGGAGACTCGCACTCATTTTCACCGTCTACTTCAAACAGAACCTCTTCAGACCTGTATGCAATGTGTAGCTTCCTATTATTTAATTAAAGGCATGCGCACGAAACATATTATAGTAAACTACGTACAGACAGTTTGTAGTGTCCCCTCTATTATCATAATCTTTGTATCCTAATAGTGTATAAGTTAATTATATTTCATTAATAAAACACAGTATATTCTCAGCAGTCATTCGTTTCACTTCGTTCCCTTACGCCTACCGTACATGGCGACCCTGCCAAAAGAAGGCGTCATACGAGTGTCGCGTATGTGATACCTATCGCGCAGAAGTCTGAACTGTTTTGGTATAAGAATGTAAAACAATAAGTGAACTTTAGTTGTTACCAAGATGAACAATTTAGACTCAATCGTAGTACACTTGAGTGCTGTCGTATACATCGAAAATTGTCAATATGGGATCCTCAAAGTCAAAATATGAAGAAAAAGTTGTCGTCCAAAACGCGATCGGTGGGTCCAACCAGGCATCATTTGAGGAAATAAAGTTTCATCTAAGCACCGCTAGCATAATTCTGACGGTAATCGCATTGGTTCTGGGAGTTGGTCTACTTGCTTTCCTGTACCGAATGTATAGGAAGTGTCATAGGCGCTGGATGCAGCAGGAAATACATCGGCAAAACCTGCGCTCTTCCATTTTTCGTCGCGGCCGCCGTGATGCAAAAAGCGAGGACATCGTATGACGGTGCAACATAATCTACGGCATCAGTGAAGTAAAAATGTGAAAAAAAAATAGTGATGTGCGGGTAAAATAAAAGTGAAATAATTACGTCAAAAAAAAAGGAAGTGAAAGTGCAGTGCAGATAAGTGCGTATTAAATAATTCTTACTTGCAAAATCGGGTAGGACTACTGACTATATTCCTCTCTAGTGGACGCTAAGTTATAAAAAACTAATTTAGTGGACTCTAAGATATAAAAACCAAATGTAATAATAATATAATGTGTGTGTTATGATCTGTAAGTTTTATACTCCATGTGACAGCAATGCTTGGTAAGTTATGATTTTACAATTAAAGGAATTGTATGATAAACTGAAAATTATAAAGACTTATTTGATTAAAATTGGTCCTAAAAGGCGTCAAGGACAAATTGTTATTAATAAGTTAGAGGAGGCAAAAATATTTTATAGCGAGTATTCGTTACTTATAATTGAATTAAACAAAGATATAAAGGAAGGAAGATTATCTACCCAGGACACCGATTTAGTTATCAAATTGTCCTCCGATTTTCAGTCCTTGTATACTGACAGAGTTTCTATGTACAAAAAATAAATCTAGCGATTTTAAAGATATTTTTTCTGATATGACCGAAACTAATGTAAACATGGCGGAAACATTCAATTTAAAAACTGCTTTGTCCTTACTTGCTCAAATGAATGACGATGAATTTAATACTAAACAACTGATTGATAACATTGAATACTATGCGTCTGTATTGGAAAAGGATGAATGTAAGCATAAATTGATTCAGTTTGTATTAAAAGGCAGATTGTCACAAGGTGCAAAATTGAAACTAAAGTGTAGTTATTCAACTGTAACTGATTTGATCAATGATATGCGGAAAGAGCTTTTGCCCCAAAAATCAGCCCCTGCCATACAAGATAAATTGCAAAAATGTAGACAAAATAATTTAAATATTCAGGATTATGGTAAGGAAATTACCGAGATGTTTGTGGAGCTGACGATTGCGCAATCCAATGGAAATTCAGATTGTTACAACATTTTAAAACCTCTAAACGAAAAAGTATGCCATTAAAAAATTCGCCGATGGGTTGCGTAATCGCAGGCTTAGTACTGTCATTACATCCAGGAATTACACCTCGTTGAAAGACGCAATCCAGGCTGCAATGGAGGAGGATATCGGGTCTGCTTCCACAGCTGGTGAAGTATTAGGTATGTCCCATCAAAAATTATAATAAACCTACCAGTCATAATTTTTCTTCCCCTAGAAGGCAAAATTACCATCGTGGAGGTCAGCACTTTAATAGCAGAGTGTTTTCGCAGCGAACTAATTATAATCCTAATTTTAGAGGTCAAAATCAAGTCCCTATGTCTGTTTCTCGACCAGTACGAAGACCCTGGCAGAATAGAGGTATGTATAATAATAATAACCGTCGTGGAAATAGGTGGATTCGCAATCAACATATGCGCGTAATAACTGAAACGGAAAATAATAGCAATGTTGCGGAAAATAAGTTTTTTCGAGGCTAATAATTTTATCTTAACTACTAGTAGTAATTGTTGCATCAGATTATCTCTAAACAACGTGATTCATTCTTGGTTACTTGATACGGGCGCTACCATTTCGGCTCTTAAATATAAACATGCACTCGAGCATAATCTTCCAATCCATAATGAGAAGATTATTATAAATGGAATTGGTGGCAAAGTCCATGCAATTGGATACACCTATCTACAATTACGAAGTGATGATAAATTATTTAGGCACAAATTTTATGTTTTTGATTCGCTACCATGTAAGGCAAGCGGTATCATCGGCCAAGATTTTTTAAACACGTATAGTGCGATTATTGATTTAAAGAACGATTATTTAACATTAGTAGTAGGAAATAACATAAAATGTAATTTGCGTATACAACGTAATGATAAATACATCTGGAATGTAGCCCCCAGATGTGAATCAATTCATTATATTAAAACTAATTATACTGAAGAATGCGTAGTAATTTGTAAGGAATTATGCGAAGGTCTTTATTTAGCTAGTTCTATAGTCAAACCTTTAAATGGTTTAATACCAATAAGAATACTAAATACTACCGAAAATACGTTAACATTAGAAAATATTGAACCAGAAGTTCACAAACTAAGCGATTACTCGATATGTACATTCAATAAGCCTAATAGCAACGCAAATAGGGTAAAGCAATTATTTTCTTTATTGAAATTGGGACACTTAAATGAGGAGGAACAAATTTCTATTGAGAACTTATGTGCTAAATATTCGGATATATTTTATTTACAAGGTGATAAGTTGTCAACCACGGATATTTATGAACACACTATTACTTTAAAACAAAACGTTAGTCCGGTATTTACGAAACCATATCGTTTACCTCACTCACAAAAACAAGAAATTAAGTCTCAAATTGACAAATTACTACAAGAAAATATAATAGAAAAATGCAATAGCAGTTGGTCAAGTCCATTACTCTTAGTACCGAAAAAGTCCGATGATAGTGGTAAAAAGAAATTAAGATTAGTGATAGATTACCGGAAATTGAATAATTTAATCGAAGATGACAAATTTCCACTACCTAATATGTCTGAAATATTAGACGCATTGGCAGGTAGTGTATATTTCAGTCATTTAGATTTATATAATGGGTTTTATAATGTTAAATTACATAAAGACAGTAGAAAATACACCGCATTTGACTCGGGACAATACCAAATGGTGAGGATGCCTATGGGACTGAAAACAAGTCCCGGATCGTTCTCACGCATGATGAATATGGCCATGTCGGGTCTTACCTACGAAAAATGTTTTGTTTACATGGATGATCTAATTATTTATGGTTTTTCATTAGATAACCACAACAAAAACTTACAAGATGTTTTTGAACGTCTTCGTAAGGTGAACTTGAAATTGAACCCGCAGAAATGCGATTTTCTAAAGAAACAGATATTATATTTAGGACATGTAGTCTCTGATAAAGGAATACTACCGGATCCGTCAAAAATTGAAGTAGTTAGAAATTACCCACAGCCCAAAACTACCGATGAGGTCAAGAGATTTACAGCCTTTGTAAATTATTATAGGAAGTTTGTTCCAAATTTTGCCGAGAAAGCTAGCCCATTAAATAGATTATGTAAGAAAAATATTCGTTTTAAGTGGGACGATCAATGTCAAAAAGCATTTGAAACTCTAAAAGAAAGTATTACTTCACCACCTGTCTTAGCTTACCCGGATTTTTCCCCAAATAATCAGTTTATAATTCAAACAGACGCGTCAAACCACGCGATCGGTGCCGTGATGATGAATAAAAATATGAGACCCGTTGCGTTTGCCAGTAGGAGTCTAAATAAAGCGGAGAAAAATTATCCAACTATAGAAAAGGAACTTTTGGCAATTGTTTGGGCGGTCAAACACTTTCGACCCTATTTATACGGTAAAGAATTCAAAATTCAAACTGATCATAGGCCTCTAGTTTATTTGTTTAATATGAGGGATCCGTCGAGCCGGCTGATGAAGTTTCGGCTATTATTAGAAGAATACAACTTTAGTATCGAGTATGTAAAAGGTACAGATAATGCAGCTGCAGATGCTTTGTCTCGTATCAACATACAAGATTTAAAGGAAATGTCTAATAAAATAATAAATGTCATGACAAGAGCGCAAAAGAGAAAGATAGCGCAAACTATGCCAGATCCTTCGGCTAATATCGACTTTACCGACGATTGGTCTGATCAACCAAAAGTCGTAGAGGCGCATATTAAACCTAAGGACCACATAGAATTAGTATTTATTGAAAAAAGGAAATTAAACTCAATAAAACAATTAAATGACGTACGTTTTGAAACTAAAACATTTTGTTATGTTCCTGATAGGAACTCAATTTATATTAAATATATGGATTCTCAATCGCAAATTACCCCAGCGGAATTTGTGAGAGAACTTGATGAAGCATGCTTAAAAAATGGAATTAATGAACTATATTTTGTAATGACTAAAAGAAATAATGTTTTCGTGGAAAAATTATTAAATGAAGTAAAAATATACGGAAGTGCTACTATGCCTAGGTTATGTATATTAAAGGACATTATTAGAATAGAAAATAAAGATGATCAAAAGGTAATATTGAATGACTTCCATCTCCTGCCCACAAGTGGCCACGCGGGTATGAGACGGATGTTATCTAATATTAAAAAATATTATTTTTGGCCAGGATTAGAAAAAGATGTGATTAATTTTGTAAAACGCTGTGACAAATGCCAGCGACATAAGTATTCGACATACGTAAAAGAGCCTATGGTAATAACGTCAACCGCAAACACTGCCTTTGAAAAAATATATTTGGATATCGTTGGTCCATTAGAGCGAGATAATAATAATTATTCATATATTTTGACTCTACAGTGCGAACTTTCAAAATACGTTGAAGCTTATCCACTTATTTCTAAAAGCACAACAGAGGTAGCTAGAACTCTAGTAAATAATTTTATATTGCGATATGGAATTCCGAAGGAGATCGCAACCGATAGAGGAGCAGAATTCATGTCTTCAACCATGAATGAGGTATGTAAACTTTTACACATTACAAAAACTAATTCACCGCCTATCACCACCAGTCAATAGGTGCTTTAGAAAATTCGCATAAACACCTTGGTTCCTTCCTCAGAATTCAATGTGATAACCATCCCGAAATGTGGAGTCAATGGCTTCCATTTTGGTGCTTTTCCTTCAACACGTCCGTGCATAGTGAAACAAAATTTACACCGTATGAGCTTGTTTTTGGGAAGAAATGCTCTCTCCCTAGTAATTTGTTAAGTAATATAATAGATCCCCTATACACTTTTGATAACTACCCTTTAGAACTCAAGTTTCGTTTGCAATTGGCACAAAAGGAGGCTAGAGAAAATTTACTATCTAGTAAAATTAAAAGAAAAGAAATATACGATAAAAATATGAATCCAGTTGTGTATAAACCAAATGATCTGATTCTTGTTAAAAATGAGGTTGGAAACAAATTAAATTGTATTTATTCTGGACCATATGTTGTGATAAAAGATATGTCACCGAATGTTGAAATTATGCGAAATAATAAGCCCGATGTAATACACAAAAACCGAACTAAATTGTATCACTCTAGTTAAGTAATCATAATTATCATGTATTGTACGTTATCTATGGTATGCAAGAAAAATGCTAATATAATAAGCATTTTCCTTTTTTTTTCAGGGGGGAGGTGTAGTGTCCCCTCTATTATCATAATCTTTGTATCCTAATAGTGTATAAGTTAATTATATTTCATTAATAAAACACAGTATATTCTCAGCAGTCATTCGTTTCACTTCGTTCCCTTACGCCTACCGTACAAGTTCGAACCACATTGTCATGAAAATGTTATTCATAATAAACCTTACCATCCGTGGAGCTGTGCCAACTGGATCACTAACGACTACTTTACAACTGCAAAGCTACCTTTTTTTAAGGGGGACAAATCATCGAATTACTTCTGGGGGAGTGGGGGAGTATCAGACTCTTACTGATTAAAAACCACCCCGTTCCTACCCCTGTACTTCGAGCCGGAGCCCCGGCAACCCGTTAAGTTCTTCGCAGCTCCGCATCGGCATCAGCCCTATTGGGCCCCATCCGTGGTGGTCTGATGGCTCCTTGAGGCGCGCGCGTAACGCGACGCGCCGTACGCTCGGGTCTGGTTCTAATCGACGCGTCCCGCCTCCTCCTTAACTAGCATGACTGCTTCGCAAAAGGAGGAGACGGCATCTCAAAGCTATCATTGGCTCGGACTTTATTTAAGTTAATCACACAAATTTAACCTATTCGGAGTCCTTTTCTGCTAGCCGTAAAATCATACTTATATTTTTTTATATATATTTGATGGGCCTACGCTTGACCACTATCTCACCTGGTGGTAAGCGATGATGCGGTCTACGATGGAGCACGTCGTTCCATAAGCAACCTATTCACTCGGGACTTGAAGACACCCAGGTCATACCCTTCAGGAAATACAGACTCTGGCAAAGAATTCCACTCTTTAGCAGTACGTACAAGGAAACTTGATGCGAAGCGCTTCGTGCGTGTGGGTGGGACGTCTACCATGAATGATAATTTATGTTGTAATCAGAAATGTTTCATTTTGACTATTTTACAGTAATATGTAAACCAAAACTATTTTTTATCACAATTCCTCAAGGGCTGTCTCACCCCAGACCGACCCATACTACATATTTATTTTGTGTTCTTTATCTTTCCTTTCACACTTTGACAAATTATGTCGGAAGAGTCATGAGCACAAAACTTCAATTGACCACGAAACGGAAGTAGATGGCGCACCTTGACAGAATCTAGTGAGGAGAAATAACATCTACTGAAGAGGAGGGAGACCTCGTGACATTATTAACCGACTTCAAAAAAGGAGGTTCTTCGTTTGACCTGTATGTATATTTGTGTGCGATTACCTCGCAATCGGCTGAACCAATTCTGATGCGGTTTTCAGAAAAGTGTTTGCTACACTGAGGAGGAGGCTTCGTATACTTATTAGTTAATCGACTTCAAAAAACAGTCGGTTTTTTTTTAATTTATATTGCTGTTTCGTTCGTGGGCGCACTTAAACCCAAAAAATTCATTTGTAATATGAGTACAAGTTAAGTAAAAGAATTAAAGTAAAATGGAAACTTACTGCAATGGGGGCGGCGTGGGCAGTGGCTTATCGAACCCGTCCTTGCCCAGCAGCCAGTACGTGTGCATGGCGCCCTTCCCCTTGACCATGGTGAGGCCGCGCGACCGCAGCCGGTAGCCGCCGGCCGCCGTCAGTCGCTCCGCCGTCGTGGCCGACACCTGGATGCGCCACGCCGCGCCTGCAACAACCACACCGTCACCGAGTCGCCGAGCGCAGGGTCGCGCGGGTGCGGGCGGTGGCTGACCAGTGGATTCCATGCGCGAGGCCGTGTTGACGGTGTCGCCGAAGAGACAGTAACGCGGCATGGTGAGGCCCACGACGGCGGCGCAGCACGGGCCGGTGTGCAAGCCAATGCGCAGGTGCAGCGGCGTGTCGGGCAGGTGGCGCAGGCGGAAGCGGCCCGCCAGGTGCAGCAGGTGCAGCGCCATGGTGGCCACGGACTCCGCGTGGTCGCGCGTGCGCACGGGCAGGCCGCCCACCACCATGTACGCGTCGCCGATGGTCTCCACCTGCATACGTTGGGCCTCACTAATACACTCGTAAAGGGAAAGAAGTAAAATTACTTCTAATTAATTGTAGCTAAGCAAAAAATGTGAATAAAGCAGTGAGAGATAAGTTCGCTTTATAACCGTACACTAATAATAATAATTGCGTGTGAGTGGTAGGAGCACCTTGTAGACGCGGTACTGCTCGATGGCGGCGTCGAAAGTGGTGTAGAGGTCATTGAGTAAGTCCACCACCTGCACCGGCGTTGAGCGCGCCGCCAACGCCGTGAAGCCCACGATGTCACTGAAGTAGATGGACACTTCAGAGAACTCCTCCGGCTCCACGCGCGACCCCAGCAATAGGCGCTCAGCCACTGACCTGCCGCGAGGAATCATACATACATACGTCGGTACACACTCACTACACATACACACCCACCGCGACACCTGCTTCGCTTACCTAGGTAGCATCCTATTTAGTAATTGTTCGGTCTTCTTCTTCTCCATATCGAGCTGCTCGGTCCGTTCCTTGATCAGTTCTTCTAGATTATTACTATATTTCTCCAACATTTCAAACATGGAATCGACTATGTTAACCTTTCTGAAAACGAAAACAGTATGTATAGTATTCCTACATAATGCAGATGTTTATGTATCCTTGTAGCAGGCACAAGTGTCAAAGTGGAGTACCTGCCGCGGTGCAGATGTCGAAAGATGTCGTGCAGGCGATGGAAGTCAGGGCGAAGGTCGGGCGCCTCGCTCCAGCACTGGCGCATGACGCTGACGGCGTCTGGCGGCGCTGCGCCCATGGACACGGAGGGCCGAATCAGCGGCGGTGGCCGGGACACCTTCTCCACGATCTCTGCAAACAGTGGCAGTACTGTCAGCATGACGCCTGTCCATCCGGACAAGGAATGGGTCGGCCGCTACCTTCGGGCGTGAGAGCCAGCATGCAGTATGGCTCGCCGCGCACGATGACCTCTTGCATGATGATAGCAAATGCGAACACGTCGCCGGGCTGGGAGCCGCGACCCGCGCCGTTGCTCTCGCGCAGGAGCTCCGGGGCCGTCCAAAGAAGATCTGAACATTATAATGTCACGAGTAGCTCGTCTTGGTGAATACAGAAACTTTTAAATACTACGCAGCAGGCTCGGGTGTAGACCCGGAAGGTGGAAGCAGCACTGAAATCTAAGTATCTACTGTTATTTAAAAAGATAAGAAAAAAGTAACACATATTAGTTACACGTGAAGAGCGTGTAAGTAATGTAAGAAGTGACCAACGATAAAAATAAATATGATCTGTTGGAATGTTCGCACGCACCTCGCGCGGAGCGGTGCGGGTGCGGCAGGGCTTGCGCGTGGAAGAATGCCGGCAGGCCGTAGTCCGTGACTCGCAGCACCCAGCGCGAGTCCACCACACAGTTGCGCGACGTGAGTCGGCCGTGCAGGCGCAGTGGAGACGCGTGCAAATAGCGCATGCCCTTCACCAAGTCCGTGAGCAGCGACAGGCGGAACGTCCAGTCTAGCTTGATGTCGTCCGCCACCAGCACGTCTTCCAGAGAGCCGCGCCCGCACTGGTCGAATACTAGAGCCGGCCTCAGCTCACACAGACACCCTGGAAACGCATGCACCATTCTCACTTACCACTTCGTTTTACTTATAGGTACGTAAATATCGAAGGATAAGTAAATTCCTGAAGAAGTTTTTTGTGTTAAATAACTTACCAATGAAAGGATTTAGGTTTTCGTGACGCAGGTTCTGCATCACCAGCAACACGTCTGTCGCTTTTCGTTTGAGTTCCAGTCCCGCTGTCGCCGGTAAGTACTTGACGTGCACCACGTCCCCCTGAGAAGCGCAGCACAGGGTATGGCTGGCAGATAGTAACAAAGACAAAGTACAAGGTTGACGAAGTGGAGCTGTACCTAAAGTACCTTGTATCGTATGCGACGGTCGACGGCAACGCGGTTGACGCTGCACGTAGACGAAGGCGCGGAAGGCGCACGAGGCGCGACGCAAGGCGGTTGCTTGAGTAGATCAGGGCGCTCGAGCTCTGGGCCACCAAACTCGTGCAACTGCTGCAGCCAACATGAAAGCATGGTCTCCATTCCCTCACCCACACGACGCCGCTCGTCCACCGGGAAACTAAAGTCGGAGGGAGTAAGTACGGCGTCACGGCGCCGGCGCCGGCGACGGCGGCGAGTAGCTAACCAGCGCAATAGCAGCGCAGTACTAGCGGCCAGAGCCAGTGCACCACAGGCCGCCACCGCCGACAGCGCCGCGGCGCCGGTGCTCTCGCGGGCCGCGCCTGCTCCCCCCGCGGTCCCTGCAGCTCCCGCCGAGCTCCAGCTATCCAGGGCCACCGTCACGTTCACAAGCTGCACGGAATTTATTTGCTCGTACGACAGCTCTAGGGACCGAGACACCGTAGTGGCCAGCACAGCTGCATGAGTCCAATGTGGAGATGTTTTGTTCTGCTTTTCATATAAATGAAAATTTATATTTATGTCTTCTTTTTGTGCTTTTTTGGCAATCGAATCAATTTTAATAGCTTTGAGTAGTTCATCATAAATCATTGTTTCATCTGAATATGAGCGTTTTGTTAACTGGTCATCGGTAAGGAGCAACAAGCGACGAAAGAAGGAGATTTGGATTTGAGGCAAATAAGATTGAACTCGATCCGAGTCAAGGTCCGGTCCGGGCTCCCCTGTGGACACACGCTGCCACTTTTCGAGCTCGATCTCAGTAACTGAGTGCTTACTTTCCAGCACCTGTTGTTTGATTAAAGACCTTTCTCCATTTTCTTTCGATCTTAGCTGAACGGAGTCAGTATCGATTTTACGATGGCCTATATATTTTATTACTGGCTGATTGAGCAATCTTGTTTCTGTTGAAATGTTCTCTAGCTTATTTGAAGACAGATTTGTACTGAGATCGTTCATCGTTATCTCTTCAGACTGCGAATGCCTTTTACTTCTCGTTTTTAAGAATTCGCTTAAAACTAAAGTAATATTGCTTGTTGGCGTCGCATTATTAACATCTTTCATCGCAGTGCGTCGCGTCTCGGTGACAGAACGTGATGCGCTGTCACACTCCTCCACGTGTACTAACAGCGCCGCGGGGCCTGCTCCGTCTGCCTCATGAGTCACTGCAGCTGCCGCCGGTGTCCCAGTACCACGATCGGTACATAGGATTACAACTAAAACAACATAATGCACTGTAGGATATTCTAGTGGCCATGCCGGCCGGTTACAAGCCATGCTGGCCGGTTACGAGAATTAAATATTGTTATGTTTATGTTTCAATGATATCTAACCATCGGGTTGACGCTCTAGTTCTTCTGGTGACAGTTTGGATCGACGTACTGCGAGGCCGGCGACGGCTAGCGCGCGCGCCACCTCCAACAGCGCGGCCTCGCACTCGGATGTGGGCGCCGCCGGCGGCACTAGTGCTAGCCTCCAGCGCAGGCGCGCTGCCAGTCGCGCAACCGCCACGCCGCGCGCTTCCGCGGCCGCGCAGCGCGTCATCACCGGTCGTTGCAGCGCGCGCGCTGCCGCGCCCAGCGCGCCACATACGTGGGCACCGAGGCAGCCTGAGCCCACCACTGAGCCGCCCTCGCTCAGCGCCGCGAGCGCTTGCTTCGTCATCGAAGCTCTCCATTCGGGTCCACAGGTATCTGACCGAGAACACTCGTATGAATACATTGCTGAGAGGTAACGACAGCGACAGGGCTCTGGATGAACACTTCTTACATCTCACCTTCATAGCTTAAGAGATGCACACGGTACTGGGTGAACAGAAAGCGCGCTGGTTCATAGTCGAATAATCGACTCTCGTTGAAGGCGGCGAGGAGTGGCCCGTGGCAGGCAGCTCGTAGCAATAGCGCGAGCGGCGGTAGGGTTGCGGGGGGCGCTGAACTCGCAGCCGCGGTGGTGGAGAGGGCGGCCAGTAGCGGCAGGAGCGCTCGCATGGCGCGCCCTCACGTGACGTCCGCCATGCGGCCGCTGCCGAGCGCTCGTCCGCTCCGCTGGCTCGCTCGGCTGGCTGCACAGGATCAAACGATACCTCGCCAGTCGCCCCGTACCTGATACGGTTATAAAATAGATCGATAACATCTTACGCTAGCAAAACATACTAATAACATAAATAAGTAGGTGCTAGTTCTTATTATAAGCAATGGAGTAATGTTGCAAGGTAGTTTCGTAATCAGTATGAGTTGTAAATCAAATTACCTACAAACTGAAAACGGCAAACTCAGTCCCTCTCTAGGAACATAACAGTCAGTAAACAAACCACCATTTAATTATTATTATTAAATGATTTTATTTAGCTTGCCCCGTTACTTAGTTTGGGGCAAAAGTACTTAATTGGAATTTTTCTGACGATAAATCGATTTCATATGCCGTAGGTACACTCTTGATGGCTATACAATAATATTATATTATAACTTACAATATTGTATGAATAGTGGCATTAAGCGCCGTAATGTGCACCTCTGCCTACCCCTTCGGGGATAAAAGGCGATGTAACTTATAATATATACTAGGAAGCGTGCTGTCCTTATCACTAATTTTATTGTAATCTAGCGAGTCCGCCCTTACCGAGTACTGATCAAAAAAATAATTTTCGACACACATCTGTATAACGTAGGTAGCCGATACAATCGTAAATAAAATAAATTATTAAAACAAATTAAAAACCCAACTGTAAAAAAGTAATAAAACAAGTTCGGTTTAGAAGCATAGTAAGTAATTAAAACAAATACCTAGTCCAATCCTTTTTATTTTTGACCCTAGATATTTTTTTTAGTTATTGAAGTACGTCTGGAAGACGGATGTTTAGGTTTTATCTAAAATTTAAAAAGGGACATTACACTCTACCAAGTAGTTATAGACAGTCCCTCACTACCCCTACCATTATTAGATTGGTCCCCTGACTTGGGGGTAACAGAAGGAGAGTTAGACCGAGCTTCGCGCAGATTAATTGCGCGAAACACCGAGCCTAGCCCGGTTGGTGTCCCTGACCGTGCATAGGTGTTGGCTCTTGGTGCTCTGGGGGACCGTCTGAGGCGGTTGTTCAACACCTGTCTTCAGTCAGGCGTGTTCCCCATCCGTTGGAAGGAAGCTGGGTCAGTCCTCTTAAAAAAGCAAGGCAGGTACGCGGCGCCGCCAGCCTTAACTCCCTACCCTGGAAGGTAATGGAGGCTCTTGTTCATCACAAGAGTCCTTCCTATTTGCAGAATATTGTGGGGGCTTATTTGTGTGGCCAGCACATTCGCTATGTGGGCCGGGATGGTAGCGTTCAGCTGAGGTGTCCTTTATTGTGGAACCTCGCTTACTATCCGGTCCTGGATGTCGAACTTCCCGCTGGTTTGCATGTCATTTGCTACGTAGATGACAGTTGGTAATGACCAATGGGAGTACCTTTGAGGACACTATCCGGCCTTCAGAGCTCGGGGTGGCAAAAGTCGTGGTTTCAATATGCGGGGCTCTATGGTTACGTTGGTTGGTTGGTATAATTTATGAGCTGCCGAGGACCAGGGAACTGCGCAGTTCGTCAGTCTACGTTGGAGATGCGCAAGTTCAGGTTGGGCGATACATAAAGTATTTAGGCCTAACCTTGGATGGTCGGTGGGGCTTCGAAGAGCATTTCAAACGCCTGGTCTTTCAAGTCGAGAAGGCAGTGGGTGCTGTGCACAGACTGCTACCTAATATTGGGGGACCTCGAGAAGAAGTTAGCGGCTCTATGCGGGTGTCGTGCTATCGATGGTCCTTTATGGGGCGCCTGTTTGGTCAGACCGACTGTCAGGCGCCCGACGCTGTAGAGCGAAAATTTATCGTTTGCAACGGAAAATGGCCACCCGCATCGCACGAGGATACCGTACGGTGTCTGTTCTAAAATATTTTTAAAATAAAACTATTTTAGTAAATATATCGTGATTTATATGTGAACGCCTCTGAGACGTAGTGTTTGAATTAGGCTTCAAGGGTTAAAATTAACATCATGTGGCATAATCCGCATCAGGGGGCCAGTCAGTATTCACATTACTATCAGTGTTTCCCAATGCCCTTTACAGAAACATAATGATGGAGGCACACTTAATTATTGGGAAATATGTTTTGAGGCTAGCAAAACTAAAATAACTCAGGCGGTTCAGCGGGTTCAGTATTATGATCGTGGCACATCTAGCGATGCCTTAGCTTGGATCTACCACTAGTGCATAACATCAAGCAGCAGTGCCCGCTCAGCCCAATGTGAGGTTCTCAAAGATCCTCGTTGACTATAACAAACCATACCTGAATGTCATTCGGTTCTTTTTGTCTTTATTTTATTAAAAAATACAATACTTTATTAATTTTAAACCGATTGCGCTGAGACTTTGCGTGCATAAAGCTATTATGACGTAGGCATTTGATATCCATAAAGGGATAAAATAGGGGATGAAAGTTTGTATAAATCTTCTTTGGTTTTCCACTGATGAACTGGAAATTAAAGATTAGAGCTACTATGATGAAGGAGTTCGCTTCAATATGATTTTGATGATTTAATTAAATAGGGTAGGACTCGGAAAAAGATGTCCGAGAGTTTTCAACTGGGAAACAGGAACTATGCGTTAAAGAGCCGGGGCTTTCAATTATTTCGGTGAAATTTAGTATAAAAATAGTTTACGACCCATACATACCTCTTTCGCTTCATAAAATAAATTCCTTTCACAATAAATATAACTTATGTACTTAATCGATCCTGACGACATTTAATACAGCCGTAAAATATACCTCGGAAAAGACAAATTCTGTCAGAACTCATTATTCTGCGCGGAGGACGTTGCGGGCAACAGCTAGTCTACATTATTATTTATTATTATTAATAGTATAAAGAGGAAAGATTTAATTTTTAGTTTGTTTGAATTGAATAGGCTCCGAAACTACGGGACCGATCTGAAAAATTGTTTTACCGTAGGAGTCCTACATAATCCATGATGAACATAGGCCATATTTAATAAAAGAAAAAAAAAGAATAGTGTGAAAATTTCGATAATGTAACCTATTTAAAAAAACTACCAAAAACTCCCTATATTGCTTAAGCTTTAACTGCCAATAGAAATCTCATCAGAATCAGAAATTTCGAATAAAAAATTTGAACTTAATTAACTGATTACATTTTATTCATGGACTAGCTCTATCCACGGATTCGCTCGCGCTCTTTTAAAGTATTGACGGCAGGTTCACAAAGGATAAAAAAGGCTTGGTGCCCGATGTTTTGCTGGTCACAAATATGATACTAATTTTAGGTTTCTTGTAAATTACGAAATGCTCCATACAAACTTCTAGCCCCTGTTTTGGGGAAGTGGTGGGTTAGAAAGAAACAAAATGTAGCCTGTGCTACTTTCAATCTCTCAACAATCTCCACTCAATAAAACAATCACGTGAATTTCTACTAAAACAAACACACACACAAAATTATAATATTAAGTATATATTTCTGTTATCTGACATATTGTTGACAAGTGAGTGTCATGCCAATGGATCATTACCAATTTATGTTTTTTTTTATCATGATATAACATTAGGGTACGCAAAGAGGCTGAATAGTGAATATTAATATTATTAACCACTGAACCTATTGGATTGAAATTCGGTTCTAAATGAGTGTGCCACTGGAAAAGACGTATTATTGTTCTGTCCCGGACTTTGGCTGACTATGGCTTAAGCCGGTAAACGAGCAGACGTATCACCTGATGGTATGCAATCAGCGTCGCCCATGGACACCTGGAACACCAGAGGCGTTACAAGTGCATTACCGGCCTTTTAGGGAAATAGGAGTTTGAGGATCGTTGAGGATTCAGGAATTGGGAAGATTGGGGACGGGGAGGGTAAATGGGCCTCCGGTAACTTCACTCACACGACGAAACACAACGCAAGCGTTGCTTCACGTCGGTTTTCTGTGAGGCCGTGGTATCACTCCGGTCGAGCCGGCCCATTCGTGCCGAAGCATGGCTCTCCCACACTTGGAATCCCACGGGACAGAAACTATGCGTTAACACTTCCGGACTCTCTATCGCTTAAACCACTGAACCTATTTTAGTGCAATTCGGTACCAGATCATTGTCATTAACCTTGGAATAGTCTAACAGTCGTAGAATAATCATTTTTGTTTATGATGTCAGTAAAATACGAACTACACGATTCTACGACGTTCTTATATTTCTGTTATAATAATAGGTAAACATCATTCTGACAGATCTAACAATACATATAAAGCAATTTAGGGCCGATTTTTCAATTATCAATTAATTCCTAACTAAGTATAGAATTAACTAAATTAAGGTTTTACTATTGAAGAATTGTCAAATATTCAAAGTTAGTTAAAATATATCTGGCATTGGAAACATCGGCTCTAAAAGAAAAATGACCTAGTGAATGCAATTTATAATTTATTTAAAAATACGTTTGACCTAACGTTCAGCTCATTAGCTAGCTTAAAATTATCCAATAGGTATGAATGATTTAAAGAAACTGTCAAGTTACAAATCTCGTTATTTAGTTATGAAAAATAAATAATGATACATAAATGCCTACGTTAAAACTTACAGCACTGACACTGATTTACTTTATTTCACAAACGACGATCATAAACAACACTTGACAATGTAGGTGTAATGTACAATATACAAGTTAGAGGTTGAAGTGCACATATCGTATGAGCTTCATTTCCGTGTTGTGAATGTCGCGCGTAGCACGAGCTGACGAGAGCGCGACACAGGCGACAGCGCGCGTCCGACACGGCAGCGGCAGCGGCGCTCCGGCGCGGAGTGCGGCGCGCTGCGAGCACTCGCGGCGGCGGGCGGCGGACGGCGAGCTCGTGCCGCGCATGCGCCGCCGCGCCAGACGGGCCGGCTCCCGGGCTCACGGCTCCGGCTGGCCACTACCACCGCCGTAACGATCGAGAGCCCGCGCCTGCCGCCGGCTCGGCTACCGGGTTTGGGTGCCAAACTGCCGCCGGCTGTTTTAACTTATTCTTACAATGATGCAACTTAGATAACGAACAACGGATATAATAAGCAATGTTGCTCGAGCAAACTGTCCGAGCAGGCGCTATGTCAAGCCAAGGCTGGTACTGTGGTTTATTCCCCATTCCCCGTATTTATCATCATCATCAGCCTGTAACTGCCCCACTGCTGAGTAAAGACTTCTTCTCACACGGAGAAGGAATAAATATTAATCACCAATAATCACCATTTTTTTAATTACAATTGTTGAGGCACGGGTTCGGGTTGTAAATAAAAGATAACGTATACCTATATAAATCTTGCAGACTATCCTATGCTTGCTCAAAGCGGATTTCTAACTTGTAGTTTCAAATTATAAGTCAAGGTTTCTTTACGATATTTTCCTAGACCCAATGTCAGTAGTGTATAAATAAATACACTAAGAAAGAACCGTCAGCCCCTTGCTTGCGGGTTCGTGTGTAGGGCACAGCCGCCACTGTCGCCACCGAGCGTATGGCGAACACATCACATAGGTACAAAAGTTTGCGCATTTCCATCTTATAGCTAGTCCCCCCAATACAATTTTTAATTATAAAGATTACTTATTACCTATTAAAATATTTCAAACATAAACGAAGTAGTTATTTTTACTTACCTAGTTTATGTATATGTTACCGGCCAAACCCGATTTCAGGAAAAACTAGTTTTGCCTAGGCTAAACTAGTTCTTGCTATACGCGTTAGGATGAACTAGTATAGCCTAGTTCAAACTAATTTGTCCTAAGACCGATAGGATAAACCAGTTTAGGCTAGGACAAACTAGTTGATCCTGATATAAATAGGCGCACTCTAGGATAAACTGGTATGGCCTAGTCTAAACATTCTAATATAGGTATCTAGAAAGTCAAAATAAATAGATAAATTAAATTAAATACTCCGTAATTGGTAAAATAATCATTTTTATTAAACTATAATGATTCGTCGTTAAAACTTATGGTTAATTGGTAATACAAACTATAACAAATAATAAGTGTTTTTTAAAAGAAGCAATAATTATTTAAAGGTTAATAATTTAAAATCGGGCATAATTCCAGACTCCGTGCTACTACTGAGATTTTGTTTTTAAAAACCTAATAAGTAATACTATGCCCGATCCGGGAATCGAACCCGAGACCCCTTGCCCGGCAGTCGCATTTGCTACCACTTGGCTAACGAGGCAGTCAACCTGTTTTTTAATAAACGCAATAATCATACTACGACTATGCCATACCAGTTTATCCTAGAATGTGCGTATTTATATCAGGATCAACTAGTTTGCCCTAGCCTAAACTGGTTTATCCTATTGGGCTCAGGACAAATTAGTTTGAACTAGGCTATACTAGTTCATCCTAATGCGTATAGGAAGAATTAGTTTGGCCTAGGCAAAACTAGTTTGTCCTGAAATCGGGTTTGGCCGGTAACATATATACAAAATTTCCATTTCGTGTTGATATTCGACATTGATGTGGGTCGGTGTTTGGCCATTATCTCGCCTACTAGGAAGCGACGATGCGGCCTACGATGGAGCACGCCTGCTGATAAGCAACCTATATTACCTAAGTGTGGGAGAGCCATGCTTCGGCACGAATGGGCCGGCTCGACCGGAGTGATACCACGGCCTCACAGAAAACCAACGTGAAGCAACCCTTGCGCTGTGTTTCGTCGTTTGAGTGAGGTTACCGGAGGCCCAATTACCCTCCTCTTCCCCAATCTCCCCAATTCCTGAATCCCCAACGATCCTCAAACGCCTATAACGCACTTGTAACGCCTCTGGTGTTTCAGGTGTCCATAGGCGACGCCGATTGCTTACCATCAGGTGATTCGTCTGATCGTTTACCGGCTTATGCCATAAAAAATATTATGTTATGTTTACCCACATATAAATTTAATGGTCCATAGCGATGTTTACAACTGTTTAGGCTCTCCACCGCAGTCCAGGCACATGGACCACGTAAAGGCACAATACCCTTCTATTTCCCGGTGGTTAATAAAACCTGGCCTGTTAAAAATGAATTGTCTACAAATAACTATTCTGTTGACACTTTCCAGAAACCGTTTTTTCATAAGGAAATATAGCATGTACTATTTGACACCAAACAAAGTGCATGAACTTGACCTAGCCCTTGACGAATTGCACACGTCGCATGAACATGTCATTGCCGTGTGCTTGACGGAGCATTGTATTGTCGGGGGTGAGGAGCAATATCTTAAAGTAAATAATTTTCATTTATCTTCTATTTATTCTCGGCAAATGCAACGGAGAGGGGCACTTGTATTAAGAAATGATTTGCAGGGGTTTCAGTTGCGGGCCATTAATGAACTGAGTATTGAAAAACATTTTGAAATTTGTTGCTTAGAAGTCACACAATTGAAACTTATAATTATTTGTATTTACAGAACACCAAACTCTAATATAAATGGAGTTACCCACCTGCTCCATGAATCAGGTAGTTCCACTGAGCCCAAAAATTATAGACCAATCACATGTTTACCAACGTTTTATAAACTTCTTACATCCATTTTGAGAACAAAAATAACAAAACATTAAAAAAAATTCCATCATGTCTGTGTCTCAAAATGGATGTAGGGAGGGGTCTCGTGGAACTAAGGAGCTACTCCTCACTGATGGTTGTTAGCAAACAGGTTCGTCATTCCCGAAAAGATTTGTATACCTGCTGGATAGACTACAAAAAAGCATATGATTCTGTGCCACATACATGGCTCCTGAAGGTGCTGGAGTTGTATAAAATAGATGCAAGTTTACGCGCCTTCTTGGAGTCATGTATGAGGCAGAGGAGCACCGTGCTTTGCTATCAGGGATGTAGACAAATCCAAGGGAATGAAGAACCTGTAAGGATATAGTACGAGGAATATTCCAGGGTGACAGCCTGAGCCCACTATGGTTCTTCTTGGCCTTAAATCCTCTAAGTACTCTATTGGAGGATTCAGGGCTAGGCTATCCTTTGCGGAGAAGGTGTTTACTTATATCCCACTTACTTTACATGGATGACCTCAAGTTGTTTACTCCCAACAAGAAACAACTGAAGGAACTACTGAATATAACTGAAAAATTTAGTAGTTCCATTAGCATGAAGTTTGAAGTGAGAGAGAGAGACAAGTGTACGGTCATGCATGTAAAGCGAGGAGGGATTGTGGAATCTGAGGCGATGGTGGTCCCTGATGAGGCCGAGGATGCTGGTTGGCTGCGACTTGACTACCGCTCAGCGGAGAAGTTATGAATGAGAGGGATGGCGATACGGATGATGCTGATCTGCTCCGTGAAGTGAAGGTTGCTTCCAATCACGCCGGGGTCACCACTTTAAAGAACAGAGTGTATAGTTCCCTAAGATCGGAAAAGGAGGATCCTCCGACCAGGCGAGGTGATCGTGCCTGGCGGGCTTTCTGCCCAACAGTTGTTCTTTGGGATTTTCTATCCGTGTTTATTCGCTTGTAAACTTTGCATGTGCGATGTAGGATTCTTGTGACGTCATCCGTTGACATGTGGCATGCGTCGCCACAATACGATGTGTGTGAAATAAAACAGAAAGAAATATCGTGGAAAAAATAGATTATATTATTTTACAGAAATACATTTTGTGCACACTTGTGAGGTTTACTATTAACATTTGACTGTTGTCTTCACAAGGCACTAATGACAGTGATACATGATACATGTTTGTGTACTTACATGGCTAATATCTTATTTTAAACCATAAAGCATCAGCGTCAGTGCTGTTGTTGCGCCAGACTCTCGATCTGAGGACGGTCCAGGCGCAAGGCGGCGCGGCCCTCAGTGACACGCAGGTCACGCGCTCCCAGCCGCGAATAAAAAGCGAGCGCCTGAGCGTTCTCCTCCAGCACGTGCCAATCCACACGGTGCACGCCTTCCTGCACCGCCATCTGCAACGAGAGGCACGCACTCAGCGGTCTGCCTACCAGCCAACCAACAACCAGCCGGGGCAAGCGCAGCACATACCCGGCAGAGCTCGTGCAGCAGATACATGCCGACGCCGCGTCGCCGCGCGCTCGGTTGCACGTACAGGTCCTCCACGTAGAACGCGCGCCGCGTCCACGAGGAGTAGGCGCGGTTGCAGAGGGCGTGCCCCACCACCTCGCCGCCGCACTCCGCTATCAGGCCGAAGAACCATGACGGATTAGCTTCAAACCCGTCTTCGATCAGATCTACAACATCACCAGTTTTGAAATCATAACTAGCACTCAACGTCTACTTCAAAGTGCAAAACAAAGGGACGATGACGAATTACCTACTGCTCTTGACATAACTAATAGCCAGTCGAAAACGACATTATCTATACTTAAAACAAATCTGTAGAGAGGTCAATTCTGTACATGAAATATATTTCCAAAATAACTATCAGGGAATGATTAGTGATCGATACCAGTTAATGCAAAAAATGCAATCAGTAAAATTTTTGTCTGTATGTCTGTATGTTCCTTATAGAAACAAAAACTGCTCGACGGATTTTAACGAAACTTGGTACAATTATTCTTCATACTCCTGGGGAGGTTATAGTATATATATATGTCGCGGAGAATCTAACGGGGAATCGGGGCTCCGGCTCGACGTGCAGGAGAAGGAACGGGGTGGTTTTTAGTCAGTAAGAGTCTGACACTCCCTTCCGCCTCACCCAGGCGGGAGCATTCATTCGATGATTTGCCCCCCTTAAAAAAAAAGTATATATATATATATATTTAGTTATACTTTCTATCACGCTACAATCAATAAGATCAGAGCAGTGAAGGGAAATGTTGGGAAAACGGGAGAAGTTACTCCATTTCGCGTGTGCAGCCTTATTGGTTAAAGCTACATAGAAATCATGTATGACGGAAATGTTCTACATAAAATTATCTAAAAAATATTCCATGACAGCATATCGTCGGGGATAGTGCAAATCCGCGGAACTCGCATTGAACAATTCCATGTATCTGACAAATGTAGCTTCTTATATCTTAAGTATTCGCGAAAAAATCCCCCAAATTATCAATTGGCTGCCACACCGCCTTGACACGAGTTCATTTTGTATATTTTCAATATGTAAAATTAAGCTTTAAACTGTCAAACACCAAGCGGTCACCGGTGACCGCAACCTATTGTTCTTTAATTGTGTCTATAAATACGGTACTCGACGAGTTAAATTCATTGAATTAATAAATCATTAAACTTTAACCTTCCCCTGTAAAATAAAAACTGCGTTTAAAAAACCGACTTCAAAAACCGAAAACTAATAACAAACAAAAAGTCAATACTAAAAAGCAAAAAATAACTATTATTAGTACTGATAGGTTACCCACCCACTGATAGGTAAGAAGTCGGTGCCATAAGTTCCATACAAAATTATTCATTAAAACCTTAATAGGTATCTAATTCACAATTTTGTGGACATTAAGTTATATCATTATGATATGAGCTTATGGCACCGACTTCTAACCTATCAGTGGGTGGGTAACCTATCAGTACTAATAATAGTTATTTTTTGCTTTTTAGTATTGACTTTTTGTTTGTTATTAGTTTTCGGTTTTTAAAGTCGGTTTTTTAAACGCAGTTTTTATTTTATTATTTTACCATTTTCAATGTAAAGCTACATATACCCGTTTTGTTACTTATAATATACATAGGTGCAAAGTCCTCATCAATACAAATTAATCAAGCCCAAACTCACGGTAGTTACTGTATACCGTTGAGGAGTTCCCTTAACAATTACACTTCTTCATCATCAGACCCTTAATGACAGCCCCACTCTGTCTAGGTGTAAAGTCCTCATCAATACAAATTAATTAAGCCCAAACACAAGGTAGTTAATATAAACCACTGAGGAGTTCCCTCGACTGTCTGTCGGCTCCATCATCAGGTCGACTCCAGACCCTTATTAAATTGTAGTGTTTAAAATTCGTAATTGAAAAACATAATAGACGCATTACTCCTCCATAGAATTTTCGAAAGTTTCCCTCGGTTTCCCTAGGATCCCATCATCAGATCCTGACTTCATGGAAATGGGATGGAGATGGATGGATGGAGATGCAATGACAGCGAGCGCAATTAACGTTAACAACGTGTTTTACTTTTACAAAATGTATCTAACAGGATTTTGTTCACACTTCAACTCTATGTTAAAAAAATGTGGGAGTTTCTTGTTAACGCTCATACTATACCTATATCCTGTTTAATTACTGAGAATGTATGATATACTGTCACGTTATGGTATAGTAACGGGGTTTATTGATGAAAAAATAATGATTAAATTAGTTATTTCAGAAGGTGCCACAAGTGCACTCACCGGCGACGGAGAGCTGCGGCCCATGCGGCATTCCCTCGAACTCCGCAAGTTCCTGCAACACGTCATCACATCGTGTACAAGTACAAAACAATGCTCTTGGCGGGTTCCAGTGCAGGCACAACACAGTCGAGAAATACATTTGGTTCACACATGTAATGTGTGGCGCATCGACCGACACAATGGTTTTAGGGATTTGGGAGGTCATTAGTGTTTCTGTTGTAATGATAAGTTCAGTTGACAAAAATTGCAGCTGGAAACCACATATTGATAAAATTGTTGCAAAAATTGATCGTTTTGTATATGTACTAAAAAGGATTCGACAAACAACAAATCATCAGACGACAATGCTTGCGTATCATGGCTATGTATCGTCCGTACTTCGTTACGGTATAATAATTTGGGGGAACTCAGTGGAGGTTGATAGAGTCTTTAAATCCCAAAAAAAAAGCATTCGAGCAATCTGTGGAGCTCATTTTTTAGACAGCTGTAAACCACTGTTTCAAAAATTAAATATCCTACCTTTACCATGTCTATACATTTTTGAAATATGTACTTTTGTAAAAAGAAATTACATTCTATTTGAAACTCTGGAAGACAGACCAAATAGCCGAACACGGCATAAAGACAGACTTCGTTTACCACGAATAAAATTAAAATTATTTAAGAAAAATGTATATTGTATGTCCATAATCATTTATAATAAATTACCAAATAGTTTACAAGAATTACCATTGACATTATTTAAGAAAATGCTTTTTAAACTTTTGCTATCCAAGTGTTACTATAGTATTAAGGACTATTTAGAAGATAAGACGATAGAATCTTGATAGTGTAATTTTAATAATAAATTTGCACGCCATATACGGCAGGATACGCTGGAAAAAAAATTTACTGTAACACCTTTTGTACCGTATTTTAGCAAATAAACATTTTTGATTTGATTTGATTTGATTTGATAAAATAACACAAGTTCTGAACAAATTATTAATTAAAGTTTTAATATATACCGTTTATTAAGCTGCATACAATTTCATTACAGGTGATTCCTGTGATCACTAAGTAATATTTCGTTATGAGTGCGTGGCACACAATTCTTACACCGGCTAGCAGTGGTTCGGTAACCTATCAGAACAGTGTCACGTTGACAGATCTGTTGATCGGACGTCTCAAAAATATTTTAAATTTTCTCAACATTAAATAAATATCTTATGTAGAATTGTGTTGATAAATATTTCTAAAACTAAGTTTTATTGATCACACGTGCGGCAGGAGTGCGCCGGTTCATTCGGCCACTCGGCATTATAAGTAAACAATGGAAGATAATGATAGTGCATCGTCATGTGGTGAGCGCGAATCAATGATTTACAATCCATGCACGCGTAATGATAATGATGAGAATGAAGATGTAGATAAAGTGTGTCGTGATGAATTGGCGAGAGCTGAAAAGAGACAGAGAGAGGATAGTACTGGAGATGAATATAGTTGGACCCAAATAAAAGGCAAGAAAAAGACACGTCATGACTATTTTAGTAAACTGCACAATGAGAATTATGAAGTGTATATATCACACAAAGATCCTCTGCCTAAGCAATTCGCATTGGCACGTATTTTGAAAGAAAATAATATCGTCAAGATAAGTCAGGTCAAATATTTAAGCCCTTATAAAATTAGATTGCAATTTGAATGTGAGTTAGCTATGAATAATTTATGTACTTGCGAAAAGCTTATAGAAAAAGGCTGGAGAATTCAGAAAGCTATGCAACTTTCACTAAGCTATGGGCTGATTAAAAATGTTGATCTTGACCTGTCAGATGAAGAAATACAGCAAAACATTTCATGCCCTGCTCCTGCTAAATTGTTATCGGTCAGAAGATTAAACCGCCGCAATACGAATGTGGATGGCGGGTGGTGTCCCAGTGAAACACTTCGACTTTGTTTTGAAGGTGACTTTTTACCGGCATTCGTTAGTGTTTGTGATATTAAATAAAAGTGTTGCCCTATGTTCACCAAGTTTCGCAATGCTCCTTGTGTTGGAAGTTAGGTCATAGTCGAAAAATGTGTCAATCAAAGAAAGTTGTGTGTCCAAAATGTGGGGGCCCTCATCAAAATTGTGAGACTGTTCGATTTGTTTGTGTGAATTGTAAAGGCAACCATATTTCGTTGAGCAAAACCTGCCCGGCCTATAAGAAAGAGCGAAGGATTAGAGAGATTATGTCTGAGTTTGGCTGTACTTACAGGAAAGCCTTGGAATGCTATACTTCTCCTAAAAGTCAAGATGTACTCGATTCTGTCGCTCCAGTGCAGCCACCCTTAGCCATGAGCTCTATGGACCTTTTCCCTTCCCTTAGCCAGAAGTCATTGCAGATTAACCCAGAACCAGCGTTTCGTTCTACGTATGCCGAAGTAGTTCAATCTAAGGCTACCGTTCACCCATCAAAAGAATTGTTTAGTTCACCTGTTAAATCCCATAATAAATTAAAACTTAATAAAGAACAATCCTCGAAAGAGAGAAAGCGTGATGTTAATGAAGACTGGATGTACTGGAATTCTGAGCCAGATGACTCTAGTCCACTCCCGGGTAATAACGAAGAGGATGATAAAAACAATCAGGGCCCTTCTTTTAATGAATTACTGGCTAGAATAAAGGAAATTATTTTCCTTAAGCAATCCAACCTTACAACTAAAGTGAAATCTATAATACAATTGTGCTTAGAATGGTTGGTATTGATAATAGTCAACTTTGTATCCGAATGGCCGATGATGAAAGTATTGTGGAACTTGATGAATATCCAGCGTGATGGCTAACACGATTTCATATAATGTACTTCAGTGGAACGCCCAAAGTATAAGACCTAAGTTACTGTCGTTTTGTGAGATTTTAAATCAAGAAAAAGTACATATTGCTGCGATAAGTGAAACATGGCTCGAACCGGTTAGTAATTTTAATATCAGCGGTTACAATGTTTATAGGTCGGATCGAGATGACTCATACGGTGGAGTAGCTATTTTTTTACATAATAGTATCAAATCACAACAAAAACAGGTTCGACTCAACAATGCAGGTATCGAGATTATATGCGTTCAATTATTTAACTCGTCGAGTACCGGTTTTATAGACACAATTAAAGAACAATAGGTCGCGGTCACCGGTGACCGCTTGGTGTTTGACAGTTTAATTGTAAACCTTTCGAATACGTGATCGCTGTTTACTGTCCATCCAGGATTGTTACAAATCGTCAGGATTGGGATAGTATATTGTCTATATGGTCACATAATGCAATTATACTAGGGGACTTCAATGCACACCATACCACTTGGTCATATAAAAATGATCACAGAGGTAATCTCATTTATGACGCGCTAATGGACAGTAACTTTTTCGTGCTGAACGACGGAACTCATACACGTATTCGTTTAGTTGATAACAACTTGCAACAATCGGCCCCTGACTTATCATTGATTTCCAATGATATTGCATTGGGAGTTAATTGGACCGTTTTAAACGAAAATTTAGGTAGTGACCATTTAATAATTAAAATATCATCCCAGTTGTCATCTCACGTCCCTCCTATATCTAAAAGGAATTTCCGAAAAGCTGATTGGGTTGCTTATAAAAGTCATTTAGAAAAAGAATTTCATGATTTTATCCTTCCAAGTGACCCACAAAAAGGTTACGATTCATTTGTTAATACCATCAATGATGCCGCGGATCTTTCTATCCCATATTTTAAATTGAATCAAAACCCTACTTCTAAATTTATCTCCAAAGCGTACTGGACATCAGAACTTTCTCATGCTGTAGCACAACGTAGGCTGGCATTGTCCAAGTTCAGGCGTAATCCTACTGTACAGAACATGGATATTCTTAAAAGTCGTATTCATTCTGCTCAAAGACTTATAAGAATAGCTAAAAGGTCACATTGGCAGGAATTTTGCACCTCGATCGATCACAATACTTCTTCCAGTGAAATGTGGCGTAAATTGAAATGGATCAAAGGTTATCGCTCGCAAAGACAATTTGTAGATGTTATTGGTGCAACTAATTTACTCAATTCTCTTACACCAGATTATGCGTTCCCATTATGTCCCACTCTTTATCAAAGTAATTCCATAATAGAATGTGAAATCTCTATCCAGGAGCTAAATAAATGTATTAAAAATAAGGATACATCTCCTGGATGTGATGATATTTCATATTCGATGGTTAAACACTTACCTGATGCAGGTAAGCAGGTATTACTTAAATTATTTAATTTTTTTTTAATGAATAGTTTTGTTCCTTCGCAGTGGCTTGACATTGGTATCATACCTATTCCGAAACCAGGTCGAGACATTAATAGTGCATCAGGATTGCGTCCCATTTCCCTTTTATCGTGTATTTGCAAGACATTTCATTATATTATATTACGTCGCTTGGAGTGGTTTGTTGAAAAACAAAATATTTTTTCTACAAACACAGTAGGCTTCCGTAGAGGTAAGTCATGTTTGGATGGTTTAAGTAACTTAATAACCTTCATTCAGTCAGGTTTTTCTGCGGGGTATTTAACGATGGGTTGTTTTTTAGATATCGATAATGCTTACAATAATGTAAACCATACAGCCTTAATTGATATTTTGAACAATCTTCGAGTAGGACCACTTATTTGTAATTATTTATGGAATTTCTTACACCAAAGAGTATTAAAAATTAAATCCGGGAATATTTATATTAATAGATGCGCTGGTATAGGCTTGTCACAGGGAGATCCTTTATCGCCTCTACTATTTAATATTTTAACGTTAAATATATGTACACAAATTCAGAATGATGACGTTTGCATAACACAGTATGCTGATGACTTCGCGATATATTTGCAATGCTCATCGATTAGTGAGGGTCAAACTAAATGCAGTGTGCACTTAATTTAATGGATAGATTGCTGTCACATTCTGGCTTGCAAGTTTCTCCTTTAAAAAGCAAAATTTGCTTATTTAATAGAGGTTTCCGTAGGATAGTGTTCGACGTTCTTCTTAATGGTACTCAATTACAACTTGTAGATAATGTTAAATACTTGGGTCTCTGGCTAGACAGGGGGCTGCGATGGAATAAACACATTAATGAATTGTGTGAAAGAGTTACCAAGTTGATAAACATCTTTAAGATCTTGGTAGGATCGGCATGGGGTCACCCCAAGCACCTAAGGCGCTTATATATAGCACTGATTCGTAGCCGTATAGACTTTGGTAGCTTCTTATACGACAATAGCGCCAACACACATCTAATTAAATTAGATAGGTTGCAAAATATTTGTTTACGGTTGATAGGTGGGTACATCAAAAGCACCCCAATTCATGTGATGGAAGCCGAGTTATTTTTATCCCCTTTATTTGTTAGACGTCGTTTTTTAGCAGGGAAATTTTATTTGAAAAGTAAGAGTTTTAAGTCTCCGTTAGTTAAGTCGATCGACAATTTACATACTTATAGTCGCAATCGTTTCTGGAGGAATAAAAAAATACCTCTTCTAGTGTCTACACATGATGCTTTAAAGCAAGAACACGTGTATACAAGTGACAGTGTTGGTTTATTCTCTATGGATACATGGGGCAGCAATATGGACTTATCGAACATTAAAACTACTTTAGAACATATAGACAAACCAAAGAAAATCATATAATAGCTATAACTTAAAATCAATCTGTTGCAAGTCTTTAACTTCGTTTATTCAGAATATCATTGTGTATATACAGACGGTTCAAGAAGGGATAATTTTTACGGTGCAGCATTTTTTTGATTCACAATTAGGTATAAGCTTCAAATTACGCATTTTATCGAAGCTATCAATTATGCACATAGAATTAATTGCCATTGCGGAAGCTTTGTCGTATATTCAATCCTTAGACGGTGACCGGTTTGTTATCTTTTGTGATTCAAAGAGTGCTCTTTTTCACCTAATTCATTCAAGTTTATCTGTACGAGGGCTTCCACTGGCGTACAGTATTTTAAGATCTATTTTGAACTTAGGGCCAAAGGCAAAAGTATTGTGATACAATGGATCCCTTCCCACATTGGATTGGAGGGTAATGAGGAAGCTGATCGGTTGGCTAATGAAGCGGGATCTGACGGGGAGGTTTATACTTGTGCTCTGTGGCATACTGAACTTCTGCCTTTAGTAAGAGAAAGTTGCTATAAAGTATGGTCAGAATACTTTGACAAAGGTCACTTACTAAAGGCATTTGGTATAAAACAATACAACCGACGCTTCCTCGTGCCCTCTGGTTCGGTGAAGGCGGGTTGAGTAGACAAGATATCGTCACAGCTTTAAGGCTCCGATCTGGACACATGCCTCTTAATAGTTTCGGATTCATGATGCGTAAAGTCGAATCACCAAATTGTGCTGTATGTGATGTTGTAGAGGATGTGCAACACATTTTGTATGAGTGTCGACGTATTGAGTCTCAGAGGAATCAGGTTTTTAGTTTTAAGTGCCTTAATATTGGTTTTTATAACAGTGTTTTAGCGTCACCATTGTCATCCGACGCTAAAAAATTGTATAGTTTAATTAATTTGTGTTTGAGCTTAAGGGATAGTTAAACCTACAAAAGGTTTAGCTGCTTTATTTTTTGTATTTAATTTTGTATCCTATAATAGGGCTGACATTTTCCTCTACGGAAAAAAGCCCTTCTTATTAAATAAAGATTAAAAAAAAAAAAAAAAAAAACCTATCAGAAGAAAGAAACAAAGAAAGAAAAAACATTTATTAGACACACACGATTATAAAAAATAAAAATACAGATATATAAACAAAATACTAATAATAAACTTAAATGAAAAGACATAAGAACAAAAAAAACATCACAGTGTAGGTAGTAACAAAATAAAAATTGGTTGCCTGTAAAGTCGGTATACGGGCGAAAGTTTTACGTGACAACGACTTTGAGTGGTAAAATATTATGTCTGTCTCTCTCGCTCTGAGGCGGGCTAACCATGCCCGAGTGGAAGGGACGCGTGCCTCTCACTCGCTCTCATTGTGAGCGCATAACGTGAGCGGAGCGTAACGCAGTTTCTTGAAGTGTCACCCGGCAAATCAATTTATAAGACGTTGTCACGTCAAAATACAATAAAACAAAATTTTGAATATACAAAAAAAAATCAAAGAACAAAATAATAATTTGCGCGTGCTCATGCCAAAAGGGCCTCCACCTCAGCATATAGTTGGACGGTTCAGCCAAACGCAGATTTTCAGGTGGCACCCTGCAGTGACTCACGGACGGCGGTACCACCCCTCAATAAGAATAGAAAATAAAGATGAAATTATATAAATAATATAAATTTTGCTGAATATGTGTGTGTGTGTGTATGTGTGAAAAATATAGATAGTATATGTATATATATACATACAAACAAAATGTAAATATGCAATTATAAGAGGTAGTCACTTTCTATGTTTACTCTTTTTTTTAATCAATTGAGGATTATTACACACTTTCGATTGTCAAACCAGACAGGCACTATTTCAGTGACAACTCTGCTGAGCTCTGATTCATTCTGACGCGTGTCGCGTACCCACAAAGAAACAGCCGCCAGCCACTGGCCACAGGACACAAAAACGCCAGCATAGTTTACGAGTGGCGGAATGATCTCAATTAAAACACAATTATTAAAATAATGGCAAAGAACATTAAAACAATGTTCACACGGTGAGCGCCCAAACAACACGCAAAGACTTCCAAGTTGACATATAAAAGTAAGTAAAATTTGATTATATTGGAACAATAAACTGAAATTAGATAAAAGAATTGTCAATATTAATGTCGTTAAATTTAAATTTATCAGAAACATATTTGGCAAATTTTTCATTCAATAAAAAAATTCTATGTGACTGAGCGTGTCAATTGAAACGAAAGGTTTATGGGTAAAAGATAGCTGACCTCCCAAATCCCTGAAAAAAATGTGTCGATTCATGCGCCAAACACCCTGTATATACACCGTGAATTTTATTTCATTTTCGTCGCGAAGTAAAATGGTTCTTTCTCGGTAACACAATAGTTTTACAAAGAAATAAAATGTTTAAAACAAAAAAACATTTCAAAAAGTAAACTTCGAAAGTGCATACAAACTCATAGTAAGTACATACATAATCAAAACATCACGCCATGTACTTCTCGAAGAGCCATTTCTTCTTTATTTTCTCTTATTTTCATTTTCATTGTTTATTTAAATATTTTTTTTTGTTTTACTTTATACATAATGTATCGAATGTACTCCTATAGAAAGTGGTTTAATACCGCGGGACGAAAACGAAATTTTCACGGTATATCAACGACCTCGGAAACGGTTCCAAGATTTTCTTGAAATTTTGTATTAAGGGGGTTTCGGAGGCGATCAATCGCTCTAGCTAGGTTCAGAAAATATCATCATTTATTAAAAAAAAACACCGTGCTAAACGGTCATCCAGGTAATTTACCTTTAACACTATCTAACATTTAAATATTGTCTTCATTCTCATGAAGGTACTAAAGACAGTTAAAGACACCCCATTTTACGGTAATATAATTATTATTTATGATGTAGCTCAATTAATTAACATACTTTTTATTGCTTTGTTGGCAACACTAAGTATCTAGTAGACAGTTGTTTGTGATTTAGAGCTGGCGTGTGCAGAAAAAAACATGGCGAGCGCTGTGGGAGTAGCGAGCAGTGTGCGACACCCACCTGTATCATGTCGAGCACGCGCGGCATGTCGTGGCGCGTGGCGAGCCGCACTACCACGGGCGCCGAGTCCCGCCGCCGCCGCCGCCGCCGCCGCCGCTCGCTGACGTTACAGACATGGCGTCCGCTCAGCAACGCTGCGTGCCTCACACTGGCTGTCAATGTCACTCTCACAATATCGTCGGCCAACAACAGATTGCTCACAAAGTCACGATCATGTGTCTAATGCATAGAGTAGAGTAATATGTCTAATCTATGAGTATACGTCACTATTGCTATAATAGATTTTAAATTAATGTAGGTGTAAATATTAATTCCAATATCTTTGGCATTCCTATTATTTTAATGAACACTAAAAGCAAATTACTCCAGTGAACCGCTAACAATACGAATTATGTGTTACTGACTCAAATGAATAATCAAACGAGTAATAGTGACATTGTTGTGAAGCCGGGACGGATCGTTCTTCATATTTCTTTAATAAAATTCTGAACTTTAGGCTCACTCGTGACATCTGTGTGTTGGAGTCCGTACTAGGTTAATCTCCAAGCCCCGATATTACTATCATTATTCAAAAGATGGCGTTGCAAGTATTCTCCACCTCCACCGTCGAGTATGTAAATTAATGCCTCACTTCCGACTAATATTCTAGCGAAAATAATGTTTGTTACCTCCTAACGCTTGCATTAAGCATCATTATAATTGGCGTAGTTTAGAGTACGGAGTATGACATAGGCTATCTTTCGTCCTAAAAAATTCATGATGACAAAGTAACGGGTGAAGACTACAAAATGTGTCAGTAGATTATATGTATAATATTTAAAGTATTAATCTAGGTATTCTTGTATTTTTGTATAGGATACAGGTGGCAAACAAGCAGCCTCATCACCTTGTTCTGAGGAGATAAATCATCAAATGTTTTCCCCACCTTGGGTGAGGCGAGAGGGAGTGTCAGAATTCTACTGGCTGGTGAAAACCACACCACTCCTACTCCTGCTCCCGGCAGCGATCTGATGACTGGGATGTGGGCCAAGTGTTTGCAATTCACGACTACCAAGAAATGGTTCCCGGTTGATTCCCAGCTTGAGAAAGGGATCCCAACTGTTGCTTTAATAACATTACTTTCTGTTTCTGAACCGAATTTCTTTAATTTTTCTTTGTTATCATAAACCGTCAGTAAGATTGAATTATCTCTGTACCAACTGCTTTACTTTGGGAAAGGATGTAATTTTTAAACGAACCAAATATTCCAAATCAATTTTGATTCTCCTTACTTTATGTGACACTATCTACTGAAAAATAATTACTGTACATGCAAGTTCCACCAAAAGTTGGCGCATTTAATGAGTAAGTATTATAAATTGGTACACCATTTTCCACATTATTTTTTAAAAACAGCATAAAAAAATATCATCGTCAATTTGTATCTCGATTTACTATTTATTCTAGTATAACCAACCCAAGCGTATTTTAAAACCTCGTAGGAAAACATCGTGAGGAAATCTAATTATAAGTTTAAGCAACGCATTGAACAGGCGTGGTTTTGCTCAAACCTTCTCCGTGTGAGAAGAGGCCCTTGGTCAGCAGTGGCCAGTTATAGGCTGTTGATGTACACAACGCATTTTTATAAGATATAAGTACATGATGGAATTTCTTCCTGTAGACCTGATACAGGACACGTAATTGAAACACTGTGTCTTGTGTTTGTAACAAAAGTATGTAAAATTAACGAAAACAAAAAAGCGACTTAAAGTTAAACAAAACAACTTTTAATTTACAATGACTTAATATGTGTTATCAACGAAAACCTACACCGTGTTCCAGTCTTTTAACTCTTGTTGCTACAATTATTTATTTTATCGTCTGTACTTTTGCTTACGTTATCCTGAATAGTGTTTCAGTATTATGGAATAATAGATTTTACACTAACTGCTTTAGTTTAGAAAAGAATACAATGTTTGATGAACCAAGTATTCTCAATACAATTTTCACCTTATAGTTTAAGTGATTGTACTGAAACAATTGTACTGCGTGGCTTAAGCCAGCCACTACTTAATGGCTTTCAGCAAAGTTGGCACATTTAATAAGGATTCTAAAATGGTATACCACACCCAACATTATTTCTTAATTACGACACAAAAATACATTTTTTAACGAAAACCCCGCTTCGAACAATTTATTTGGACTTACTAAAATGTATTCTAGTATTTCCTAGCGCATCTAAACACCTCGTATGCACTAGGTAACACTTTGCACGCGACATGACGTCATCATTCTGTTGCTGATGTTGCTAAACATGTTGGAAATCCGCAAGGGTCTCTACAATAACATCGTTCGTCTGCTCATCATTAACTCGCAGCATTCGTCGGCAGAATTGTTGCTAGAGAAGCACATGCTGTGGATCACATCTCACTATAGAACATTTGATGTTTAATACCATAATGGTAATGTGTCGTAAAATCAAGTAGACGTAGCAGCGAGCGGCGCGATGTCGGCGCGGCTGCATCGTGTACACAGCATGGTGTTGCGGAGGTGACACGGTGGTGGCCTAGTGTACGCGAGGCCGTTTAACCAACTCATTCGACAAAAAAAAATTGAAGTCGAAGCATTTATTTCAATCAAACCATAATTTGGTACTTTTGAAACGTCAACAAATACAAAATAAATAATAGTCTGTCAGTCAATCCAACATTGCAAAATGTAGATTCGAAGGTAGAAGAATGAGCAAGAAACTCCATTCGTTACTCTTTTTAAAAAAGAGTTGGAGGATCCTCTAATGATCTAATGAGGCTACGTGATGCTGACTGGTGGGTTACTGTTACTGAAAACTTTAACGAACGGAATATGATGCATGGCATGTTACTTGTTTCCTTGCAATTGGAGTTGCACATCAAATATTATTTAGAGACACGTCATGCACGAACTTTTCCTCTAGCGACAACGAAATCATAAGTAGACCGATAATGTGGTTATTAAAAGATCTACTGTTGGCTATTTCAGAATCCTTATTAAATGTGCCAACTGTGGTGAAATTAGCAGCAGCAAAAAAAACTTAAAATTGTGTAATAAATGTATATTTTTTTTTTGTTAAAGTAAGGTGAATGATTTATTAAGAACACTTGGTTCGTCAAAAACCGACATTCTTTTTCAAAATAAAACAGTTGGTTCAGATTTTATGATTAAATAATATTGAAGCACTGTTCAGGGATATGTAAGCAAAGATACAGATGGAACAGTAAAGAATTGTAGCAACAATAGTCAAAAGACTGGCACAGGGTGTACTTTTTCGTTTTATAATATTTCTCTGATAACTGTAGGAACCTTGCCGGTCACCTGGTGCCATTTGATCGTCGACTTCAGGGACACCCTGTGTATGTCGGAGATGGGAGATATTTCACATTTGATGTCGGTTTGCCGTTTATGGAGCAGAAGGGTCGGCAAATAATATGCGTGTTCTTGGTTCGAGGTTTATTGAACGACGTGAACTTAAACAGTAACTTAACCTAATGTGCCTAAGACTAACTAAGACTATTGTGCCTACACGCTACATCGGTAAATGGAGAATACCAGTTCTAATGTCAGGAATATCATGTGGGCGTTATGACGTAGGTAGCAATAACATAATAAAGTCTTCGATATGAAATCATTGTTCATACGTATTTCTGTATATTGCACTTTAACTTCAATCAAGCTACCGATGGGGCCGGTATTTTCTACTAACAAACCGACCGCATTGGGCCGCTGCTGCACTGCTGCAGAAGTGACGAGCACGCCGCACAGTCGATAAAATAAATCATTGACTCCAGCGAGCGCCGAGGGGGGCTAGCGTTTTTTGATTGCGCCATATTTACCTATGAAATTGCCGTTCTGCAGTACTGGCCATTTCAAATGAAAATAATTTTTGTTTGGCTAAGAAATCTAATTTCAAATTAATTTTATTTTATAAACATGACTTATTTCCAAACATGGTCCTTTTTTTATTGATTATTGTTATATTTTCATTTCGATCTTTTTTATCATCATCATCATGCATACGTTAAAACTCGAGTAACCATAGTATATGCGTACCGTGGTGGCAACGCGGCACAAACCAACATACGTTTGCTCGCTTTCGTGAGTTTCAATGGGTGCCACACGAATTCAATGTTCGCCAGCGTGAAGTACGCGTCGAGTCGAGATGTGCCTCTTGATTCGCATTGTCGTTTAGGCAACAGAGAGTATAGTTTTCCCTAAAATCGGAAAAGGGGAATCCTCCGACCAGGCGAGGTGATCGTGGCTGGCGTTCTTCCTAGCATTTGTTTATTGGGATTTTCTATCCGCGTTAATTCGCATGTAAACTTTATATGTGCGATGTAGGGTTTTGTGACGTCATTCGAAGTTTGTTTCATTGATAGTCTATGTGCGTGAACTGTCATTTGACATATGACATCTGTCGCCACATCACTCCCTCCCAAGACCGGAGGTGACTTGGGATGAGCGGTGCCAGAACCAGTGTAAAATGTCCCTAGTTTCAGTGAGCCGGAACTATGGCGCTGATTGCCCAATGAGTCGGGTGAGCGGTGCAGTGCGATACTTCAGTGAGTTGGAGAAATGAGCTTGCAGTGTCCCACGGTGCGTCGGGGAATAGATGCTACGAGAATAGGTGCGTAGTGGCTGACGTCAGCGTTGACGGGAAGAGATGTCCTTCAGAACCGTGTGCAAACGTGCTGTGCGTAGACACTGGCGAGACCGTATGGAAGAACCAGGCTGCACATCTTCGTTGCAGGCGATAGTGGCCCCTGATGAGGCCGAGGGTGCTGGTTGGCTGCAACTTGATTACCGCTCAGCGGAGAAGTGATGGATGAGAGGGATGGCGGCGACGAGTATGACGGTGCCGACCGAGCTGCTGCTCCGTGAAGTGAAGGTTGCTTCCGATAACGTCGGGGTCACCACTTTATGGAACAGAGAGAACAGGCGAGATGATCGTGCCTGTTACATTTCGTAGTCATCTCTCCGTCCCCGACTGGGGGCGCGAGGTCACGCGATCCAGGCCGATGCCTGTTTCGGCGGTATCTGGTCGCTGCCTGCGACTGCAGGCGAAGGGTTGGAGTATTCGGACCCCTAGCGAAACCCGATGCAG